TAACAAGATCATCCTTATTTAATCTCACAGCATCACAAAGTTCATCAACACTTAGCAATAATTTTGTTAGCAGCTTGTTAATAGTTAATTTCAGGTAACAACAGTTCAATCAATAATCAAACCGTAAACTATCAGTTATGTACCACTGATTATCACTTTATCAGCTTATCAGTCATACATCAGTTATTATCGACACAAACTGGTCAAAGCTTTTTATGAAGCTTCACTTTTCAAAGTGAAATTTATTTAAATCAGGTCTTTGTTTTATTGTTTTATGTCAGTTCATCATTAACTTATCATTTTTGACAGTGAGTAACCTCAGACTGTAACCACAGTTCTCTGAATCCATCGTTGTTTTTAACTCTTCGGTCAGACGGCCGTGAACTGTCCGGCGATGCCGTCGTAGCCATGGAAACCACACTTCTTGCCAGCGACTCTGCAACCGAAGGTCAGAGCGTCCTGCAAACTTCCACCTACAGACAGAAAGCAGAAACATTACGTTCAGACTGCAGGTCGACGCCCGAGAAGAGATCTGCAGGGTCTGATCTGAGGGCAGTGAACTCGCCACGACTGAGGGTTTAATATGAAACTACATCAGCAGTCTGTTCACTTTCTTCATCAAGAAAAGCCGTGACAGGGACAGACAGACACTAACTGGTGTCTAAATTATTTAAGAAGAATCAGATATCTTCAGTTATTAACCAAAACACCAAGAAACTCTTATTAAAAAAATCTAAATGTGTTGACTTTAAATGTCTAAAATCATATCCAGCCATGTTAAAGTTTCGTTTCAGTGGTCAGGATCAGTCCTCACATGATTTGTTTTTTTGTTTTTGCCTTTATGTGATAGAGAGACCGGTATATTTTATATATATTTCTGTATTGATGAATCCTAATGACACCTATGTACATATCTTTGCTTTGTTTTTTAAATGCTGTTACACGTAATGTTAACCAAAACTTTCACATAAGATGACTGGAGTCACAGGAAAGGGCAGACCTCAGCTGTTCTTGGTTCTACTTCATTTTATTTAGGTGGTTGCAGAATCCTGCTCATCCTCTCACCTCATGCTGCACTCACTCAGAATAAGTAGTTGATCTTAGACCAGCACAGCTTCCATAATCCGATCTCACCCAGGTGTATATGAGAAATGTATTTGTTTTGTTATGTAATGTAGCTGTAAATAAACCTAAAAAGGCCCAAAACTTTCACTGGTTCACATGGACTCTGTGTTCTGCTACAGTAACTCAGAGGCATGCATGAACCCGAGTTCATAAAAAAAACATCTTAGGTTAACAAGGTTAACAGATGTTCCTAAAACAAACCCCGGGCTACATTCACTGTGGGGGAAACAACCGAGGACGTCCATCAGCTGGAAAGGCCGGGGTAACGCAAAGGGTTTGTAGAAGGCGGAGGAGGGAAAGCTGTGACTGAGTTTACATCATTCATCACGTAGGGTTAAACTCCTGGTCTCTTGATTTGCTGCCAAAACTTTGGTGGGAAATCCAAATCCAGCATCACCTACTAGACTCGGGGCCTGATTTACTAACATCCCGAATAAAGAGCACTAAATTGCGTGTGCATTCTAAAATATTGCACGTGCAATTTTAGTACCTGCTATGGGTGATTTACTAAAAATTATTGCATAGATGGCAACAGGAGCAAACACAATGGAGGCAGCAGTATTTAAATGAGCCATTCAAATACACACATTAGAAAAACAAAGCTAATTTCAATAATAATTACAACAATTACATTACTTTAGAAATATAGTATGTTAATATGTGTGACTTGTTAAGTATGTTAGCAAGACAGTCCAGATTGGTGAAACCAGGCTACATCAAATGTTCAGGGGGCGTGCTCAATAAACGTCCCAGACACAGTGCTAAAATAAAAAAAATTGAAAAAGGTGATTTCAGGAACAAATGTTGAGAGAAAGAAAAAGAAGGAGCAATAAGAAATAAGAGACAAAAGAAACCACTAAGTTTGTGAATCTACAGAATTTTATCATCATCATCTGATCCCACAGACCGTCCAACAAGACAGACCGTCCTCCAACTTACAGCTAAACAGTCTTTTTGTGTGCTTAATGAACTGAACCACATTTGTTTTTGTGCTTTATGAAATGAAATGGCCCTAATTTTTGTTATAAAAACAAAACTTAACATGTTAGATAAGAGCCCTGCCTCGAAGACATCTACACGCCAGACCTTATTATAGTCATAGCACCACCTACCGGCAACAGGAATGACATGTTTGAACAAGTAAATGTAAATGCTCTGTATTTGTATAGCCAAGAGCTTTTACACATTCACCATTCACTCACATTCATTCACTGAGCCTAAGTGCTCAAACAGAAACTAACATTCACTCACATTCATACACTGGGCCAATTCGCGGTTCAGTATCTTGGCCAAGGACACTTCGACATGCAGCCTGGGGGAGCCGGGATTGAACCGCCGACCTTCCGATAAACGGGCCGCCCCCAAGTTAATCTGATCCATCTCAAAGAACTTGACAATGTTGTACTGCTGGGCTAGTGAGGTTTTGTCGAAGCTTACAATTGCATCAAGATATCTTCTGTTATGAACTGGAGCAACATAAATAAAATTGGATTGGACAGGTCTCACAGTTGGACAGTTATGTCTTACCATTTGACAGCGTGTAGATGACGGCGGAGTTGAAAGTGTCTCCGGCTCCGAGAGTATCGACGAGAGTTTCAGGAGGAAAAGCATCTGAATGAACAACCAAACCGTCTGGACCCAAAGCATCTGCTCCTTTTTCTCCCCAGGCACATACCAGGACAGCCCTGAGAGAGAGACAGGTCAAAGAGAGAGAGACAGGTGAGAGAGAGAGAGAGAGACAGGTCACAGAAAGAGAGACAAGTTACAGAGAGAGAGAGGAGAGAGAGACAGGTCACAGAAAGAGAGACAAGTTACAGAGAGAGAGAGGGAGAGAGAGACAGGTCACAGAAAGAGAGACAAGTTACAGAGAGAGAGAGGGAGACAGGTCACAGAAAGAGAGACAAGTTACAGAGAGAGAGAGGGAGACAGGTCACAGAAAGAGAGACAAGTTACAGAGAGAGAGAGGGAGACAGGTCACAGAAAGAGAGACAAGTTACAGAGAGAGAGAGGGAGACAGGTCACAGAAAGAGAGACAAGTTACAGAGAGAGAGAGGGAGACAGGTCACAGAAAGAGAGACAAGTTACAGAGAGAGAGAGAGACAGGTCACAGAAAGAGAGACAAGTTACAGAGAGAGAGAGGGAGACAGGTCACAGAAAGAGAGACAAGTTACAGAGAGAGAGAGGAGACAGGTCACAGAAAGAGAGACAAGTTACAGAGAGAGAGGGAGACAGGTCACAGAAAGAGAGACAAGTTACAGAGAGAGAGAGAGACAGGTCACAGAGAGAGAGACAGGTGAGAGAGAGGGAGAGAGAGAGACAGGTCACAGAAAGAGAGACAGGTGAGAGAGGTTTAACAATACCTTTATTTATACATTTTTACTTCAAAATTATGAACAAAGTAACCATCACCATAAAACCATTTGTACTCTTATAATAAAACTCCTTTTTTAAAACTTCAAAACAAATTGATCCTCATGCAACTTACATAACACTTCATCAACACACCATATCTCACAAAACCCAAATAAATTATTTGTCAACCTATAATACGCAAATTCAATCTTAAGCCTCCCCGCTACAAGCCGCTTGCACATCTCTTCAGGATCTACAGTTGCCAATTTTAGACCTTTATTTTTCCGTGTTTTCCACACTGCCAGTTTAGCCGTTCCAATTAGGTAATTTAAAAGACACATTTTTTTCCTTTTTGAAAATGAATATTTGATTCCTCCAATAAACACCCTATCCGAAAACTCCTCCTCAAATTTCCTAAACCAGCTCCCAAGCAATTTAAAAATACCATTTAATCTCTCACACTTTAAAAACAAATGCTCCAAATCCTCTTTTTCCCCACAGAATCGACATTCCCCCTTTACCGCTGTGTTCAGGTGTGCCACATGTCCGTCTGTTGCTATCGCCCCATAAATAATCCTCCACTGTAGATCGCCGGAGCGCTTCTCTACAGGAGGCTTATATAGGGCCCTCCACCTGTCTCTTATCAGGAAGTCTGGCCTCAACAAATCTGGCCACTTCGAAGCCTTCTGTTTTCTAAAAGAGTCCTGATGAATGGCCTTTACTGTAATGTTGTACATTTCCTTCTTTGACATGCTTTTAAAGGAACAAAACTGAGGATTCCCAAAGGATAGAACGGTGTCGACCACTTCTTCTTCATCATCCTCCTTCACTGCTGGAGAAATAACCAGTTCTGGAAATTGCACATTATCCCCCATGTCCTGGTTATTCTCATGTCTTTTTGTGCAATAAAACTTCTGTACCCACTTGGTAATGCGTTGTTTATTTCTTCCTTTAGTTTTGACACCAGACGTGAAGATCTCAATCCTGTTGCTTTGTGAAGTTCATCAATCGGTTTCCATCCTTCGTCATTCAATAAATGATCCAGCTTAACAATTCCATTCCTTAATAGACATTGTCGTACAGTCACAGAAGACAATATTCTGGTTTGAATCAATGGATTAAAAAAAGTGGTTCCTCTGGTGCCCAAAGTTCTAGATTGTCCATATTCCGTTCTGCTCTTATAACAGTTCTCCATGTTTGCAACATAGCCCTGTAAAACACAGTGAGCTCAGACAAGTTCATTTCTTCAAGCTTCATTAAAAAGAGTTGTTTATCCAGTCCAAAGCCACCAACTCTCCTCATGATCGCACTTGCAGTCTTTCCCCAAAGCACATCTTTGTCATACAGAAATTTCTGTGCCGCTTGTATCCTGAAACCACGGACTCTGTTTCTCACATCCACTAGTCCTTGGCCGCCTTCTTGCACTGGTAGGTATAACACGGCAGCCCGCAACCAATGTTGTCCATCCCAGAAGAAATTCACTATTTCCCTTTGTATACTGGAGATCAGTTCCTCTGGTGGCTCCATGACCATAGTCCTGTGCCACAGAATAGAAGCAGCCAGATTGTTTACTACCAGCACCCTTCCTCGATATGACAATTGTGGTAATAGCCATCGCCACTTCGACAATCGGGCAGACACCTTCTCTAACAAACCCTCCCAGTTTTTCTTCTGAAATTGATCATTTCCTAAAAAAACTCCTAAAATCTTTAGTCCATCTTTCTTCCATTGCAACCTTCCTGGAAGTTGTGGAAAATTTTCCAAATTGCCAATCATAAAACCTTCACTTTTTGTCCAATTGACCTTAGCAGAGGAGGCTTTTTCATACAATTCAATAGTTTTTGTTAAAATTTCAATATCTTCTTTTTCTTTAATAAAAACTGTAATATCATCTGCATAGGCTGATAAAACCACCTTAGAATGACCGTTGCCATGAGGAATTAGAATTCCATTTAAATTCTTCCTCAACCTACATAATAGAGTTTCGATAATTAGGCTATAGTTGTCCAGAAATTGGACAGCCTTGCCTGATGCCTCTTGTCACGGGTATTGGAGCACTTAAACCACCCCCTACTTTCACCATCACATAAACATTCGAGTACAACAACTTAATATATGAAATAAAAACATCACCAAATCCATAACCCTTTAACACTTTAAAAAGATAATCATGATCAACACGATCAAACGCCTTTTCTTGGTCCAATGACAACACTCCTAAATCATTCTTAATTTTCTGATTAAATTCAATTATATCTCTCACTAAAAAAGGCTATCTATTATAGATCTCTTAGGAATGCAATATGTTTGGTCATTTTTGATCAACAAATCCAGACAGTGCTTGAGTCTATTTGCTAAACACTTCGAAACAATCTTATAGTCCAGACACAACAGTGATACCGGTCTCCAGTTTTTTAGCAGTCCAAGGTCTCCTTTCTTTGGAAGCAATGACAAAACTGCTCGACGACAACTTATCGGAAGTGCATTATTTTTTATGCATTCTAAAATAACTTCATATAAATCTGGTCCTATTAGGTCCCAGAAATGTTGATAAAACTCCACCAGTAATCCATCAATCCCCGGCGATCTGCCGTTAGATAGTTGCCTCATCGCCTCTGTAACCTCATGAAAAGTTATTACATCATCCAGCTCTTTTTTCTTTTCTTCTTCCAGCTGAGGTAAGTCCTTAAGCAAGTCTTTAGTGCAGTCAATGTCACAACTCTCAGCTGTATATAATAGTTTATAAAAGTCTCCAGCCAATCTTCTCATTTCTGTAGGATCTGATGTCACGGATCCATCCGAACGACGAAGATGGCACATCATCTTTTGTTGGACATGTTTCCTTTCCAGGTTAAAAAAGAAAGCACTTGGAGCATCCATTTCTTTTACAGAACAGTATCTTGATCTCACCAATGCTCCTTTTGCTTGCTCATGTAGAAGAGAGCTTAGCTCTTGTCTTTTCTTATTTAACCCATGACACTGTACAGCTTCATTATTATTTACAGCTTGTCTTTCAATGAACTCAATGTCACTTTGTAAAGCTTTCACTGTTGCTTTCAGTATAATTGATGAGTGGAAAGCATAGTTTTGACAAAACATTTTTATATTTGTCTTGCCCACATCCCACCATTGACTTAGGTTTTCAAAAGAACTTTTCTTCAATTTCCAAATATCCCAGAACACTTTAAACTTTTCACAAAAAGAGACATCCTGTAATAACTTAATATTAAAAATCCAGTAATAATTAGATCTGCATGTTTTTTCCAAATTAACATCTAATATGACCATATGATGGTCTGAAAAACCATTAGGTCTAATAAAAGTATTCATCACCTTGTTGTTCCATGTCTTTTTTAGATAAAACCTATCCAATCTCGCTCCACTAATTCTATTATCAACCACTCTTAGCCACGTATACTGCTTTACTCCTTCATTCCTCGTTCTCCATACATCTGTTAACTGAAATTCATTTATAACTTTTTTTAATACATCCCTAGACTTACTATGAGGCTCTTCTCCATTCCTATCAACAACAAAGTCTATTGTACAATTCCAATCACCTCCAAGTATTAGACAAACATTATCATCATATTTTTTTAGCACTTTCCTTAACTCCATAAAAAATATCAGCCTCTCTGGACCATTATTAGGAGCATAAACATTAACAAATAAAGACTCTATTCCATTATACTCAATTTGTGTTAGAAGTAATCTTCCTTTCACAATTTCTTCTATCTTTACAATACTCACACTTTTAGAAAATAAAATAGCTACCCCCGCACTATTTCTTGTGTCATGACTCAAGGCAAATTTTCCTTTCCACCACAACCCCCATTCGACCTCATTATCAGTGTCTGTATGCGTTTCTTGTAAAAAACAAACATTAACCTTTTCGATTCTTAAAAACTCAGAAATCTTTGCTAATTTATTCTTGTCCCTACCCCCATTAATATTTAATGAACCCACTCTCCACACATCCATATAGAGAATTAAGAAAAAGACAGAAACTGAAAAAAAGAGCAGAGAGTAAAGAACACCACTTGTGATTTATTCATATCTAAGCTGTTTTTAAACTTTCGCTTTCCTTCTCCTCAACTTCGTTACCATCTTTTTCAGCCTGAATCTTTTCTTTTTATCCAAAACTTCATAGCTCACTGTTTTTTGCAGAAACAACACTGATATTATAAATTTGTCCACATCTGGAAAAAATCTTCTACTTCTACAATTTTACCGAATGTTGTATCCAGAAAGTCATTAATTTCCTCTAAAGGGTACATGTCTTCAATCACTTGTGACCCAATTTCTGAAAACTCAGAAAGAGCATCTTCATCTCTCATTTCTGCATCACCAATATTCTCACTTCCAACACCATTTCC